CCCCCCCTATGAACATATGGAAATCTTTCACCACCGTAAATATGTTTCGACTTTGTTTTAGGACATCTGACACCAAAATACATTCGCGCTTCGTACTTCTCGCTGTGAGAATCCGAAATCTCGCCTACTTAACATTCATCAAAGGTAAAGACAAGTGAGCCCTTTTATAAAGTTGTGACAGAATTATGTGTTTAAAACCCGCCACTGAAATATAAAACTTTAATTTTCTTAGCCATTAATCTTTAATTATACATACATATGCAGTTTTTTGTGAACTTTAAAATATATTTGAAGCTTAATTGATTCTTAATTAGAGATCACACCCGAAGTCAAGTTTGCCATTATAATTACAGGATAGGATTTTATAATGGTATTAATTGACTATATCAGTTAATGGCTTTGATCTCTGAAATTGCTGTAGGTAAGTTCCCTCTGTTCAAGACGAGTCTAGTCAAGCAGGTTCCGTTCTCTCTCTCTCTCTCTCTCTCTCTCTCTCTCTCTCTCTCTCTCCAATTTACGTATTTGCACTTCAAAACTTTCCTCACATTCCGTTTGTGTATCAATTCCATGTTGCGTACTTTTGGTGGTGACCGAATTCTTTGCGAATTTCCTGCTGTTATTCATTGCTGTAGCAAGTTGCTGTTTCTGCTTCGTAAAGATTTGCATCAGCCATCTTATTTTCCGCGTGGTCTCAGGCGTGAGTCTTGGCCGCTTGGACACAGGGGTTGTGTGTTTGAATCCCTCTCATGGCATGGATGTAAATATTAAATGAAAGTTGCCTATTTGTACAGGACATGTCATGGCAACTGTACACGCTTACAGAGTTGTAGTATATGAAGGCCATGTGGAGAGTGTAGGTCAGGATGCAGATGAAGGATGATATTAAGATGAACCTTGCGTTAGAGAAATAAGGTGCAGATTGAAATAGGTTGTTTTCGGGTCTCAGTGACGGACGTTTGTGAATTTCGTGATGAATTGTAGGCTAATATACAAAGGGATTTTTTTTAATAAACTCCAACTGCTCAAGTAAGATTCTATTTCATAACAACTGTTCAAGTAATTCTGTTTTAGACCATCTGCTCAAGTTAACACTCCAAACCAACTGCTCAAATAAGTACATATAACAATTATTCAAGTAACATCTGCTCAATTAAGACTGTTTCTCACGAAGTTATCAAGTAACACTGTATCATTCAATTGCTTACATGGCTATTTGTTTAGATGGTCAGCTAGATAAGCAGTCTGGTAATTAGTTATGTGACGATAACAGAAAACAGCAGTTACTGATCCTGTCACATTACACGTACGTTAGACATGTTTTTCCTTGGCTTTAAATGCTGTTCATGTATACAGCAGCAATATAAACCTTCAAGCATGTAACTCTGAGCGACAGCTAAGAAAAAAAAAGACTTTATAAACAGAAATCGTGTTGTCGATGTTCGTCTGCGTTGTGACGACGTGTGGACTTGTAGGTACGAGACGCTATCGTTTTAGAGGGTGAAGATGAGGCAGTATGTTCCTCCAAAATGTCGGTATCAGTCTACAAGCCCACACAGCGATCAACCCAGAAGACCATCATCATCATCATCATCATCGTCTTCACCACAATGAGAATCCCAAATCTCATGTTAAAACGTACTTAGTTTTCTCTGCGTTTACTTCTAGATCAACTTTGTTATTAACATTTCATACAGCACCTGAACTTTTTTATATATTACCGCCCAACAAATTAATATTATTAGCATAGACTACAAGCTGATTTGTCCTATTCAATTCTAATCCCTCCTTGTTTTCTCGGACCTTTCTTTTGGCGTATTATAAAGCAAAGTCGATAATTAATGGTGATAAAACACTTCCATCTTTTGGGCCCTTCCAAACAGAAAAAAAGTGTCAGACAGGTGTTTACCTACACGTACTTAAATATAGGTTTAATTTAAACACATTGTAATTAGCCTAACTAGTTTTATTGGAAAGGGACGTACCGAATTTTTAGACTTATGTTCATGATATGGAAACTCAGATTCTTAACAGCCTGTGGGACCGGTTCCAATTTCAGACAAAAATACACGTTGCATACATGAGTAAGGCCCACGTATAATGTGGGTATCTTATTAGGTTTCAGTTACGTACCAAGAAGTTACCGAACTGGTACAAGAACTACATTTTTAAACATCCTATGGGCTGGGGACCTTGTCTCTAGTACACTTTACGCAGTGGGAGCAGGGAGAGACTCTAAACTCTGATGCAGGCTGGAACTTTTGGACCGGGCTCACACAAAGTACACATTCCAGTAGACTAAACAAGCCGGGTGAGTGATTAGTGGCTCCAGCATATATAAACTGGTCAAATTGAGAGGTGTCAAGAAATAAACCAGACCCATAGTGACATGATTCTGGCAACTTGACGTAAGTCCTGTTTGTGTGAAGATAAGTATGGGAACATACGAAGGATGTAAAGTTAATATTTTGTCTCTGGGAGATCCCGTGTTCGAATCCTTCCAAACTTATATATATTGTTTCTGATTCGTGTTTATTTGTACGTAAGAGATAAAGAGTCCTGAGTTAAATTTCAACGCTTTTCTATTAATGACGATTAAATCTTGGCATTTATTTAGTGGTAAAAAGTAAGTCACGCAACCCAAAGCTGAATGTCGTATTTATTACACATATTAAATTATAATTAAATATCAAGGTTGTAATTACAGCATATGTTGAAAATGTTCCCCATCCTGTTGTAGACGTAACAAACTGTGCGTCGTTAAACATTGGTGGATCCAGTTTCTCGGAAACGTTAAAGAATCTAAAAATAGTAAACTTATTTGGTACAGCATCTTCAGAAAAGTGCATCTGATATGCCTGTTTAACTGCTTGATAAGACTGCCTACTAAAATGATGATCAGAATAAACACGCTGATCTGTCGAAAACGTCTTACACAAACAATTTGCCGAAGACCACGGACTAGCTGTAGAGAGACTACTGTTACTACTGAGCACAGTAAATTGAAATTTCTCTCCCACACTAACAAAATTATTGCCCTCAAATTTCAAGTGCGTAACTTTTGGGACATAGTACTACACTAATTTATAGATTTAGAATTGGAATAATCTGAACACCTGAAATTCTGAGTAGTAAATTCATATCTGTGCTTTGTGTTTGTATGAATCAATGACGATTCCTGGTCTAGAAGTCATGTCGAACGGAAATACATTATTATTATATTCCCTCTCGCCCCCCAGGAGTGACACCACGTCGATAAATTATTTACAGCAACTAACTCCATGGAGCTGAGTCCGTATTGAGAAGCTGAGAGTCGCTCACACATCTAGTCAAGAAATGCCTCGCATTATATGGAATCTTAAGTTTCATTACCGAGTTCACAAGAGACCTATTCTGAACCAGGTTAATGAAGTCCACACCCGCAAAACCATTTCAGAAAGATCAACTTTAATATTATCCTCTCATTTACGCCTCGGTCTTCTGAGTGGTCTCTTCCGTTCAGACTTTCTAACCAAAACTTTGTACGCATTTCTCATTTCCCCGATGCCGTGTCTATCTCATCCTCCTTGATTTGATCATCCTATTTGTGAAGAGTACAAGCGACGAAACTCCTGATTATGCAGATTTTTCACTGTAACGTCACTTTATACCTCCAAGTCCAAATATTCTTCTCTCACCTGTCCTCGAATATGTTATTCATTCTCTTGATATAAGAGACCAGATTCTTCACTTAGGCACGTTATTGCAGTAGATGACGTGACATTTTTCGCAATAACATTATTTGCTTTGAGGACACCTTCTCGATACGATGAGGTATTTATATTTGTATATGTCGGCTTATTTACTTTAGTTTTTACATTTGTTGTTTCTTGTTCCTTGTATTTTACCCTGTTCCGATTCTGTAATTGGTTCGTGTAACTGTTTTGTCAACATATTGGACTAAATAATTATTTTTTATTATTATTCCGCTGCTTTGCTATGAAGTAAATAATTTATTTTCTATCTCTCCAATTTTAATGATGTGGCTGTTCACTGCTAGCCAGACCGAAGCATTCACCACTCGTGTGGATACGAATGTTAGATGTTAACAAAAGACATTAGAATGAAGTCGGCAGAGATTTTGCAAGATATAGATTTTCGGATCATCAAAGTAATGCTAGAATTACCGAACAACTGAGAGTAGAATCTAAATGCCACGTACAGTCGTTTACAGGCGAGGTCACAGTCTGGAGAATGACAGTTCTGTCTTTCTCTCTCAGTTTATTATACACAGCAATCGCAATATGTAATATTATGCTTTTCAGTTGATACAGCATCATTAAGGAAACTGAACCTTAGAGAATCGGAGTTAATAGTTATTTTTAACCTTCCTGTCTTGTTTAATCTTATGTGAAAGAGTTATGAATATTTTTATTTGACTCTGGTTAATTTTACTTCTATTTGGAGTCACGAGGGGGGAGAAGCCTGTCTTGTGAGGACTGTAGAAGGGTGACGAGGGCAAAGTTGTTCAATACATGGGTTAGGGGTTAAAGGTTATCGCTCACAACTCTTATTTCACGCCTCTCAAGGAAGTAAACTTGGACCCCCACATTAATATTTCAGCAAAGCGACACATTAGAGAATTAGAGAGCTAAATGCTTCATTAAAGGCAGAAGTCGTTGGGGTGAACATAGCATTCTGTCTTTATTAATTACTAAGGCTTGCTGAAATTTTAAGTTTCAACAAAATCTAAGAGTTGTATCATCTATTCTTTATAACTTAGGCTTTCGGCGATGAGACGCGTCGATTCTTCAAGGTTATAGGTTATCCGACGTTTCGGCAAACATTGTAGTTACCATATTCAAGCTGAATGTTGGTTGCGCTTTTTTGAGGCATTATATAGGACAGGTTGTGGATGGAGAGTGAGATAAGACGGATTTGACTGAAGGGGCGGGATAACAGGCTATGCAATAAGGCTTCTAAAAATCCAAGCAACCTACTCATCCTGAAGATTAATACTGAAATGTGGCTGTCTTGTGAAATTTTTCACCATGTAACTGGTAGATTTTGACTGACGTTTCGGAGGTGCTTACAGTCTCCATCACTAGGGTTATCGAATCACAGTTATGACGGAAGTGATACGA